AAAAGTGCTCTTTCTATTTCAATGATAAATACCTATAGAATTTAATTTTCCATTAACACAAAGTGATTAAGCAGTGTTTGTTTTCTTCTCATAGGAAATACACAGATTTAAGTCCATAATAAATTCATTCAGTTGTTTTCTGTAAGTAGTAATGAGATAACTTATAGACGAACACAATAATACTCCCCCATGATGCCACCTTCAAAAATTTCAAAATATACTTAGCTTCTCTTGTGTTTATAATCTACTTATTGACTGACATTTATGACTCCCATCTGAATCAGTCATTCTAAAGCATCTTGGAAAGTATATAGACATGTGTATTCACATATGTGAATATACATGAAAACCACTGCCATAAACACTGCCATTATTATTACCTGATTATAATTAATCGCCACAATGTGAAAAGGAAAGGGATCAGACAGGATATTACCCCACTTCTTTACAGGAGGGTCTGAAATCATCTTTTTAGTAAACATGAAATATTTCTCTTCATACAGGTGTTAAGCCATTTAATTTCATCATTTAGTTAATGAAAGCAATAGATCCATCGGAACTCATTTCTAGCTTTTTCTGCCTTCGATTTTGATCAAAATGTAAAGTGAGTTTTGTTTTCTTACATATCTAAAGTAGAACCTAAAGCATAAAGAAGTTTAAATATGTTCTACAATTTCAGAGACTGACTTTAAAATTAAAAGGTAATTGTGCTTTTTCTCCAAAATAAATGTTAGACTATGCTTATCTTCTACCATATGATGATCAAGAAGAAAATGTAATGTCAAATAAAACTTGAAGAAAATTCTTAGTGTGACATAACATGATGTTAAAGACAGCAGCATACTAGCAGTGATTTTTTTATTTCCATTACAGTAGCACTTTCTAACCTGGGGTCCTAGGACGTCCGGGCAGGAAGAGGCAGGATAAATTAATACCGTATGCGAAATGTTTGTGTTTATACATTTTTTCTAGGAAAGAGGGTTATAGTTTTCATGATTACTTAAAGAAATTCATTGCCTCACAAAAGGTTAAGAAACCACCATGATATGAATATTCAATCACCAGCCATGGAAAATTTGGTTTCAAACACAAATCAATAGTCAGTTTTTTCCTGAAAAACCAGAGTATCCATCAAGTGCAAGCTGGACCTATTATTAAAAGAGTATTTTTAAAAATCTCACTGGATTTATTTGCTATCATTGCCAGAAGTCTCCAAAATCACCTCTATTTAAGCAAAGGGAACTTAAATGGTAAATAAGAATTTCAATTAACTGTGGCCTTTACAATTGGGTACCTGAGAATTTGCTGGGTGATTCACTGTCTCTTGGAAGTTATAATTCTCAATAGACTAAGGGAAACTGTTGCAAAGAAAAACACTCAGATAATAAATATTCCTCCAAATACCATACTGCCACTTCTCTTAAACTGAGGAATACAAAACAGATGTGACACACTGCACCCAAAGATTTTAGATTAACAATATTAAATCAATACAAAATGCAGTAAATTTCATATGCTTTAGTTATTAGATAGCATGGATCTAATAAACAGTTCACTACTAAGCACAGATCAGAATGTTTAAATAATCTAAACGAACAGAAAAACCTCAACACTGATTATTTCAATATAAAACATATAAGGATCTAAGAAGTATATGTGGCAAGAATTAAATGAAACAAATCAAGCTGGTAGTGGTGATGATTTTTTCCAGGAGAAGCTGCTAAGAACAAAAGTTATGTCCTCTCCCCGCTTTTTTCACTCTTATTTGGAGTTCAAGAATAGACATTCAGTAGAAAGTATGCTAGATATTATAAGTCACTTTCTATTTATTGAGAAACTATTTAAAAATTATTTCAATTAACTCTAATATATTTTGAGGAAAGCAAAAATAAACAGTGAAAATTCAGATATTTAATGATTTAATAAGTTTTATATTTCACAAAACACATTTCTATAAACAAATTAGGTTCATAATCTTAGCAATTTGATTATTTATTTTTCCATAAAGCATATAAGACTAAGCAAAATTTATTATTTGAGAGGAATTTAACTAATATTGTTGTAACTGGACTAAGGTTTTGAGATTATTACAGCACTCTGAAGCCCCTTTGAATTGCTAGTTTAGACAAACATAAATAGATACATATGGTATCTCAAACTTTAAATATACGAAAATACATTTCAGAAGCTACCATTGGACTTACATTTTAACAGATCTATGTGTTACTCTGCTAATTCTCTAGAATTAGACTGGTACTTTTTAAAACATTTAATCTCATTCAGCACTATTCCAGGGTCCTAAGTCTTTTTTATTAAAAAAAAAAAAAAAAATACAAGCCACACACTCATAACCTAAAAAGCAAATAAAATGCCCACAATATAGATTCATTTGCTTTTAAATTCATTACATTTTTTACAAAAACTCTGTAAGTTAAAAATGCTTATTTTAATTATTTCAAGTAAAATTCAATGTTACAAAAATCTGATCATTTATCAATATAATTTACTTTAAAAAAAATGTTTAAACTTCAGACTTAGTATTTCTACAGTTTGTAAGTCTCTTCTACCAAGACAAATTGAATGTTGGTGAATCTTTTAAAACCAGATTTACAAGTAGTTTGCTTACAGTGACTATTCATTCTGAGAGTAAGGGAATGGCAATTTCTACTACCAAATTGAGATGGGGGGCAGACTTTTCATGAAACAGGAAAACTAGCTATTTGTTTTTTTAAGTTATTGGGCTAATAGTTTTCACATTCATTTACAAGCTTACATAAAACCTCTGTATGAATCTCCTCAAGGCCTTCTCTCCATTTCCCAAATGTTAAAATGCCTTTTTGTTTGTTTTTTATTTTAAAATAAATTACATGCTTCCTTATGTTTAAGGGAGAATTAATTCAAAGGTAATCTACTTAAATAAAAACACAATTTTTTAGTAATATATCAAAAATCAGCTAGGATATATTGCTGGAACAAATAAAAACAGATTGTTTTTAATTCCTCACAAAAGTATACTAGAATTCCTTAAGCTTTATCAACATCTAGCATTTTCCCCACCAAAAAATATGGACTAAATAACTCCTATGCTAAATGCATAGGAGTTCACTGAAGGTTTAAAAGTAATTTACCTAAAACCATTCTTCCGTGTTTTCAGACTGCAAAACATTCATATGTACCTAAACAAGTAATAGAAAGCACTAAAAAAGTTAACTATTACAGATTTAAATTCTTTGCTTTGTATGTGAGATAACGTATTCTGAAGTATGAAAGAATAGCTGTTTGTATTTTAAAGACAGGAGACAAGACCAAAAACCAAACTACCATAAATGAAACTCTAGAATTTAATGTTTAAAGAATAAGGCTTATTTCTAAGAAAATATCAAAGCAATTTTAAATTCATTTATTTAGTGACAAATTATTATTTTCGAGAATCTCAAATGAGCAATATTTAGTCACTTTAAAAACCAGGGTAATCTGGTGATCGTAAGGATTCAGGGAAACAAGCAAAATCATATACTGTTAAAAATGTCTAAACCATTCACTTTTTTGGATGGTAATTTGAAAATATAGGTCAAAAGTCATAAAACATGCATTCTTTCTGAATATTATATTTTTAAGGATTTATATGAGAAATTTAAAAACACACAAAAAATTAAAAAGCACTATTCATCATAGCACAGCTGTGTCTGAAACTGAAAAACAAAATGCCTATAATTAAAAGGTTCATTAAATTAAAAACTATACTATCATTAAAGATCATTGTAAAATACTAAGTGAAAAAACTGGTTTAAAAACTATGATATGAGACTACTTTCATATTTTTAAAATATAAGTATATGCAATAGAAAAATTAGGTTATGTAATATATTAATAGTACTTAAATATGAGTTATTCCCTTAATTGCATTTTAGTTTATTTAAATTTTTATTCACTAACCATGTAATATTTACTTGTAAACAGGAAAACTTAAAATTTAAGTTTAAAATGACAATTGTTAATTGGCCAGGAAATCCAATATCACATAATGGCCAACTTTTTTTTAATCAAACTTTCTTTTAAAGTTATTGAAGTTATTTTGAACTTAAATGTGAGTAAACGTATCATTTGTAGTAACTTCTTAAACATGGCTTCTAGATCTAAACAACAACATTTTATGACATTGTTATAACATAAAAGGTGGCTAAGCAGAAAAGTCAAGAATAAGTTCTTAATTTGTATACATAAGTCAGATAAGAAGCAAAGGCATGAGGAAAAATTTTACAAGAAAGTACATATTATATATCTTTAAGTTTCCCCTAGTCCTTGACCTCTGAATCTATCCCCCAAGTTATCCCTCATGATCACCAAGGCATAATCAGTTCACTATTCATAACATAAAAGATGTAAGGTGATACAATAGTATACCAGGAAAGTAGTGTGTGTAAAGAAGACACTCAAGGCAAAATATGGTGAAACAGAAAAAGAGAAAATACACCAGTTTAAGATTTCAATGGCACTGAAGGATTTTAACAAGTATACAACACTAGCACCATCTGGTGGAAGACCAATTAGAAGCAATTCTCCAATTACTACAGCTTAAAAAAAATTCTAAGTTATCTTTCAAAAGATGAGCATTTTCCCAAGAGAACAAGTCTACAATGATACAATAATAATCACAGAGAGGATCTATAACAAGCCAAAAAGAATTTAAAATGTCTACCAAACAGAGGGTTTGCTTCATTTTGTCTTTTCTACCCATCCAATGTTTGTTTGTTTGTTTTTTTAGCTTAAATACATCTATAGGAGCTTATCTACTCATAAATATGAGGAGTTCAGATTGCTATGGCGTAGACTTCTTAGAATGAAACTTATTGCAAAATATTTTATTCCTTTATTGCCCATCTAATAATTGAAGTCAGAATCAGAACTACCAATTTAGAGGAT